AAAAAGTGCCACACTCGAAAACCGAAGCAAAATTGCTAGTAGAAAAAAAAAATAAATACGATTGTCAAACCGATACATTCCTCGCTACGCTCAGAGTTTTAAAAAAGAACAAAGTAAAACCGTTCGGACGCTCGAACAGTACGACTGCGATTGCAAGACCGTTGTCAAAGGCATCGAATATAACGCGCGCGAAACGAATTATATTATACGCGTACGCGAATAATACCGTTGAACAAATAAACGATTTATTATTATTATTATTATTATTTTTTTTTTTTTTTTACTCTTGACGCAATCGTATGCATCGGTCTCGTTGACGAAACGAAAGCGATTGTTCGAACGCGTCGGGGAGACCCGCAAGACTATAATACTACAATGCGCGGACTACCCTCTGTTTTTTTTTTTTATTTTTTTTTTTATAAATTTTGAAATGTCGAGGTTCACGACCTTTGTACTTACACAACTATGCGCGGGACACGCATAATACCGGCGGTTAGCGAAACGTTTTGAACCGATTCGAATTTATACGGTCCGATTATCGACGGCTGTTACAGGGCGTATGCACGGAAATTAACACGGAGACGTATGGAAAATATAATATTATTGTAATCCGCCCGGAACCGACGATCTGGATCAGGGGCCGACACAAACGTCGTGTCAAACGATCGGTTACGAAAAAAGAAAAAGTATAAAAATTTGGGGACGCAGACGGGAATTCAATGTACATGTGTGAGCAACGATAAACCTAACGAAAAAACGATTCTGAATGAAGTTCGGTTGCGGATAGCGTTGCTTGTCGACAATATTTAATATGTCGTATTATATAGTAAAATGATTACAACAATGTGCGTTTCCATGGCAACAATGATTGTTTAAAAAATTATTTAAATAACAAAAACTTAATAATAACAAAAATAAATAAAAACGGTTATCAATGACAAATTTATTTTTAATCTTTCAATTTTTTTTCAACCTCTAAAGGACCCGGCTTTCCTCATTATATCGAATATCAATGAGAATTTCAAAAAATGACCAGAGAGACCTTTCAGAAAAGATGCATGCTATACTTGATAATCGGAGTAAGATTTCTGGTAGACAAAGTATTCGCATAAGAAAAAGTAAACCTCATTGTAAAACCAAAATGTACCGTAGGCGAGTTGAGAATATTATATGATTGAGCCGAGAACGCTGTTTAACCGACGGCGACGTTAGGATTTTAAAAAATAATAATAACCTTGCGATTCGAAAAACTCGGTACTAACTGCAAACGGATTAGTGTAGGGATTCTAAGAGCCGGGTCGTTTTTATCTCTTTTATTTTCTCGCAAAAAACTTGCAACTCTTAGTCGAGTCGTATTTTTTATTTTACATTTACTTCGACCGTGTCGATTTAGCCCCAACCCCCAGCTAAGTTTGACGGAGTGAGTTTCCTCTGTATAGGTAAATAACCTTCCCCAAACTACTCCCTGAAATAGTTAAAGAATCTGTGCGAGGGTAAAAAACCAAGCGGCATGTAATAATAATAGGTACCTGCAATCTTTTAAGAAACGATAAATAATAATATAAAATAAAGAAAACCACGTAGCGTACGACAAAATATCTTACGGGGGTCGAGATTTTTGGCGTATACGCTGCTATAAAAAATATCACGACCGTCATAAAAAAAAGGCGACGATGAGGGTTTAACGACTCGATTTATCTTCATCGATACGATTTTGATGATTTTTTTTTCTTCTTCTTTCAAACCCGCGATAAAAAAAATACAAGGAAAAACGCGATTTGGAAATACAACAATCACGTATGATAAGGGAAAAAAAACGGTCGAAAAACCGAGGTCCGGGTATACCGCGACGTAGAAAATAAATAAAAAATCCCGTCGAAACCGCCGAACCTGCAGATACTGTGCCAAAGGGGTTAATGTCTTCGGTGTAAACCCAAAATCCTTAGTGGTTACCGAATCGAGTGTAAGCAAGATACGTAAGAGTAAACGACACTGCATCACGTCGGGCAGGTCATATTTTGAAGCGGAAAAGTCGATGTTCTTGTCCATCGGAGCCCGGGAACCTTAAACCCGCACCGAAACCGAGTGAAATCGTGAAATGTTAACAATCGCGGTAATTTCGCGTTTGAGGCTATGCCGTATCGCGATCCGGGGAGTAGTGATTTTTACCCCCGTAATACGGGTGCATGGGGGAGGCGGACTTCCGAAAACGACGAGGATCCGACAAACGATAACGGTCCGAAAACGAGAAAGTATACTGCCTGCCGGAACCCTTCGATTCGGCCGGTTCCGGGATATCGACGTGACACGATGATAACGCGATAACGATCGCGTACAAATGACGGTACGTATCCTGTACACGACAGAAGACGGGCGCGGTGAACGCGGGAATCGATAACGAGGACCGGAGTCGAAGACACGCCAACTGGAAAACGACCGTTCGGGAACACGTCGTTTCAAGACGGGACGATTGCGTAGTTGTCTGCGGTGCGTGCTCAATGGACAGAGGGAGAGAGAGAGAGAGAGAGAGAGAGAGAGAGAGCGAGAGATAGAGAGAGGCGCAGTGTTCGCTCGGAAGGGTGGTCCTAGAGGGCCGTTACCCCTTAATAAGAAACAGAAAAAAGACGTACGCCGCGCGATCAATAGAAAACTATTATCGTAAAACGTCGGAAGACCGTCGCGGCGATCGATCCTTATCAGATGTTCGGACGACTGCAGCTGCAGATGACTGGACTATTCCTCCTCGGTAGTGTCCGTCGGGCACGACGGCGCGCCCGTTAATAACACTCGGCGGTCTTATCTCGAAATTATTGTCATATTACATTGCTATCATATGGATATGGATCACCGGCACGGACTTTGCGCCTGGACGGTTTTTCGGAGGGGGGGGGGAAATCAATTGCGCGAAAATTGATTATCTTCGTTATCCACGAATTACGCGAAATAAACCCCCGTCATGAAAATCTGGCAACACATTGCGCTAAAATCTTAGGCGAAAAAACACACGGAATGCGCTTTAAAATTCGTGCGCGATACCGTTCGCCAAACGGGGACCGCGCGGAATCGCCGTGTTTTACCCGCGGCGGGTTTTTCCCCGTCGCTTGTCCCACCCGCCGCGATCGCGGACCGATGATGACGAATTGTCCGTTCGGAGCCGATTGCCCGCGTAACCGGCCGCATCCGGGTTCCGTTCCGAATGTAAAATTCGAATTCAAGGATATATCACCCCGTCCCGTCCCGGGGTTTTTTTTTTTTTTCAAAACGGACACGCCGATTCCGCCCCGTGTTGTTTTTATTATTTGGTCGCGCGAGTTCCGTGCCGTTTTGCATTCTCCACGCTATATTAGCGCAGCATAACATAATCCACGACTGTTTATATTGTTTAAAAACAAAGATAATATTGCCCTCGGTTATCGCACTGAATAAATGAATTCGTGTTACATTGGTGGTATACTTTGGTATTACTTGATTTTTTTTTTCTGCATTTTAACATTGATAAGAAAAATTTCCACATAAATGATTGTTGTTATTATTTTTTACGTATCGTATAAATTCGATCCAATGATAACAAATGTTCGTTCGTGAAAGTATACGGTGCGTTTGAATTTGTCGTATTCGAGACATTTATGTATTACTTTCAACACCGGTAAGAACGTTTTTAATCCGGACGGCACTCGGACGCAGCCGCGAAACCCGTCTTAACGGACGCCTCTCTCTGACGGACAAACACGGTAAAGTCATCCCGGGAAAAATACGGACGTTCCGAACGGACTTCGTCGACCCGTCTATAACGGACACTCTCCACGTTGCGGACACCGCGGAATTGTAATACCGTCTGCCAATATCTCGACAACCGACAACCGTCACCGGTCCATTCCGAATACCGATCAGTGACAGATTGTCGTGTTACGTGTTTGGGGTAATAAGGATTATTGAGTTGATTGCCGGGAAGAAAAAAAATCAAAAACACATATAAAGACTGTAAAGACCGTTCGGTATTTGTACCGTATCGCTTCGCACGTACGGTTGTAAAAGCGCCGTGCATTTTTCGCCGTTCGTTTTTATTCGTTAATTGCCACGCCACCTCCCGCCGCATCTGTCTATCGCGGACACCTGTCTATAACGGACGATTTTTTTTTTGTTCTCCGTCCAAAACTGTCCGTTATATAAATGTTTCGCCGTATTTATGTTATTTTTTTTCCCCGAAAAAACACAAGTACGTATATTACAATGGAACGTCACACGACGGGAGGTGATCCTTTGGAACATCATCGCGGCTATCAAATGTACCCGACGGTACGATATTTTACGATGCGACGTCGCGTCGCGTTATCGGCGCCCGAATATTAAAGTGCGCCGGTAAGAAACTCACAAAGTCGAGGGGAAAAAAAACAAAAAAAAAAAAAAAACCGATTACATCGAAAAAAAAAAATACGAGTACAAGTACCTAGGGTATGTATGTGTTATACAAACATTCTGATGAGTTCATCGTGAGCTTTTTTTTCCCGAGTCATTGCAGATGATGATTTATAGACAAAGTCGACTGCTATATAACGAGGTCAGACGTATTTGTTTAAATTCCCCCCCCCCTTCATCACATGTATACATACACAAGCGCGAGCACACACTCACACACACACACACACGCACACACTCATGCGCGTCATTTTTTTCGTTTGAATTCATATGTAAACTTACCGACATCATATAAGTCGGTAAAAAATACAAATAATAATAAAACTTACAACGCTCGCGTACAAATTATACACAATAAATATTATTGTTATACTTATTTTTCATTTCAATTTTTTTTTTTTTCTTACAGTACGGTACATAATTCTGAAAAACATCCGTGAAGACGTTTTCGATTAATCGTAATCAATGTTTTTGATTTTTTTTTTTTTTTACAAGTACCCTTAATATTCGCGTACGACAACTATAATAATATGATATTTGAGATTCTGAGCGAAGCGAGCAATGTATTTGTTTTACTGTATGATGCGGTTTTTATCGTTTCATTTGACTTTTTGTGTCTGTAAACCACTTTTCTAACATAAATGTTGCTCTTATCAAAAACTTTAGAGAAACCTTTTCTTTTTTTTTTTTTATACTAGCATTTTTGATTTTCCATGTAGTTTTATTAATAGTCGGAAAACCCGAACATTTTTTTTTTTTTTGTTAATTTCTTAGTTACCTCGGCAAGAACGAAAACAATACGACTAATACAATATTCTGCTCAGATTCGTTGTTCGTTAGCTCCAACGGTTCATCGTTGCGTAACATAAAGTAGGCACTATAATTACTCTACGAATATATATATTGTCCCTTCCGCCTTTCAACCCAAAACAGCGGCACACCCATCGACCTTTTTTTTTGTTTTCGTCAAATAAAAAACGAAATTATTTTTTTATCGAATTTCCATAATATATTTTCAACACACACACACAGACACGCTCGTCGGGCAAACTCAACAAACACATATATATATGTGTATATAATATATATATTATATTCTCTGAAATTCAAAGGAGTAGTAGCGCAGGAAAAAAAAACCTTGTTAAATGGCTTTTATACCACGCGTCTACCTACCCCGTCTCGTAAACACCACCGAACAGTTGTGTATTACACTAACGATTTTTAATAACAACCTACGACTATACGAGTCGTTACCCATGGTAACGGACCGTTTAATATCTAAGTTAGTGGAGTTATAAAGAAAGAGACTATATTATTATAATATACACCGTGATCGTTATTTTTATAGGGTACCGCTAAATATTTCGGGTCCTTTGGATTCAAAAATTTAAAACACGGTTTCGGGCACGGATGGCATCAGATGTATACACACGTTTTACAACGAATTTAAAATTTGGTGAGCGTACACATTTTGGAAACGCCAGTAGTTTTCAGACGCCCGTGAACATTCGAATTTGTACCTATATGTTTTCCTTATTCCACACGCGACCAATATCATTTTTAGATTCTGAGCGGAACGAGGAATGTATATTGAATTTTTTTTTTTTGGTGAACAACTTTTCTACTGAAAAATTTCGCTGTGGTAATATTTTAGAGAGGCCATTTTTTTTGATTTTCCAGGGATTTTCATAATAAACGAGAAAAACCGAGGAAAACCTTAGGAAAAACGGTAAAATGTACGAAATGTATTATTTTAAAATCGTAAATATTACGGCCTTTCAAAACAACATGTATAACCAAACTCCGCTTAGAATCGTTTTTCGTTAGCAAAAGTCAATCGTTGCGTACAGATACTCGTATATATTAAATTCCCATCTATATTGTATACCTTCCCAAATGCTCACCTACAACAGTGGCCCACCCATCAAGTCCTAAATTTGTTGAGTATCAAAACACTCACGCCTACTGTGATATACAGTCATCGTTTAGTATTAATTAATAAAACACGAGATTTAAAATAAAAAAAAAAATGTAACGCGCACGACTGCAGAAGTATTCGAGTAAAGGTTATTGTAAAATATCGTAGTTTTTAATAAACTTCATAGACGGCTATATGTCTCGGGCCATTTTTGCGAAAAAGCCGAATACGTCAAAGTCACTTGAAAAAATAATAAATGAAACTATTCGAATCCGGTATATTGAAAACTTAAAAATGGGAAAAATTTACGAAAACGTAAGTCGTATCGCGCACGCCGTAATGGTTAACCATTCAAAATGCGTCCTTAAATAACGCGATGTATTTCAGTACACTCCTTATAAGACAGAAGAGCAATATCATTAAAAAAAAAAGTTTTGAGCCGAAGTTTTGAGTGGTGTTTTCAGTGCCGTGCGCAGGGGACGCGGACTATTATCCTCGGGCCCCTTGACAATTTACGGGCGTGCCACCCACCGAACGCTTTTTCGCGCAAAGTTCAGCGCTAGGAAAAAAAAAACGGGCGTGCCACTGTGTGTTGTAGGTGGGAAGTTGTATGTGCGTATAAATGAAAAATTATTTAATTCGTACATCTGTACGCGGCGATAAAACATAGCTGCCGGTATGCGATTCTGAGCGGATTTCGGTAAAACGCGTTTTGAAATGCCAGAATTTTTACGATTTCACGATTCAGAAACACAGCAGCAGCAGCAGCAGCAGCAGCAGCTTATACATAAACTCGACTTTCACTTTTTACCATTGAAAGTACGACTAACTGGGAACGCCGTGCTGAATCTGTAATCGTTGCTGTTAGGCCGAACAATTTTGCCGGCGACAAATCCCAATTGAAACCAAACTCGAAAACGACCCTATCGGGCGCCGACTAGACAACATTACTCACGTATGGTAAACTATAACGTGGCCTGTAAAATTATTACCGAGCCGTGGCGAGTGCATCGCGAGACGGCGAATCAATACAGTCGTCCGGGTCGTGCGTCGAATAAAAGCGATTTCGTTTTTTTCGGGTTTTAATGTTTCCCGGCGGGAGAACGCGCGCGCTTCCTTGCGAACACAACCCCCACCCCTACCCCCACCCCCCACACCCATTCCCCATCGTCCCGGCGGGCGCCCATTTGTACCCGACGCGGTCCCGCGCAACGAATCGGCGTTCATTTCCGTTTAAACGCATATTGTTTTACTAGAAGCGCATTGTTTGGCGACGTCGCGCACTCAAACGCGGGCGCGCGCAATGTACAGAAATAATTGTATGAACTTTCGCGGGCCGTTCGTCATCTGTCCCGTAAACCGCCGCCCTTATCATTTTCGAACGGCCGCGCACCGGCCCCCGTCCCATCTGTCCGTTACGCGTGCAAACTACTGTGCAACGGCCGCGGTAGATATTTGCAATGCGCCGTTATTGCGATATATGCGTGAACAAGTAGAGGAAATGTTATACCTAGGGAGCAAAATCTGCACATCTGATGGCAACAGTGACCGCGAGATAAAACAACGCATAGCATTAGCAAAAATTGCCTTTAGTAAAAAACATAAGTTGCTCACTTCAAAGAAGATACGTCTCGATATCAAGAAGAGACTTATAAAAACATATGTATGGAGTGTTGCGACATACGGATGTGAAACTTGGGTAATAAATGATACCGAAAAGAAAAAACTAGAAGCCTTCGAGATGTGGTGTTGGAGACGTATGGAAAGGATACGCTGGATAGAGCGGATAACGAATGAAGAAGTACTTAGAACAGTGGGAGAAAAACGTACACTCGTAGATGTGATTAGAGAAAGACGCTGGAAAATGGTCGGACATGCCGTGAGACATCCAGAAGAATTGCATAATATAATATTAGAGGGTATGATAGAAGGAAAGAAAACTGCAGGACGTCCCCGAAACTCCTATATAGGACAAATTAAATGTGATGCAAAAGTTAAAACCTTTAAGGAACTTAAAGAAAAGGCGAGTAACCGGTTAGAATGGAGAATCGGAGTTGTAAACCAACCGGGTTGAAAGAAAAAAAAAAATGTGTGTTTTGTTATCGTGGCGTTCGACTGCGGGGGCGTTTCGAACCGGGGGGGGGAAGGGAAATCAAAATAGATTGCGATACCCCGTTATCGGCCGAAAAGTAAATTATAATAAACACGATATAACATTGATATTGTTAGAAATCCGCGTTAACGTTCATTGTACGTTATTATGTTATGTGTTCCTATAATATCGTAAAACGCGTGTGAAAACGGCGGGAGAAGTTATTGGCAGAATTTCGAGATAAGAATAACATAACATAAGGGGCCTTATTATTATTTCATGTGTGTGTGTATAAGTGTGTACAGACGCGCAGACACGACGGCTATAATATAGATAAAAAAATTATTATTATAATCGCCAGAGCCAGAGTGTAATATAATAATAATAATAATACGCATACGTATACGTACTAATCTCAAGGGCAACTTGAAATTATTCGCACGTACCTGTACATTGGCGAAAAAAAAAAATTATTCGCGCACGCGGTTTTATTACGTTATGTGCCATAACCCGCAACAACACGAATTACGTTAAAGTCCGCATTGGCGAATACCGTGGGTAAGGGAGGTAGGGGGGGACAGGGGCTCTTGGAGACTTCCAGTCTTCCGACGACCGGATTTCTGCCGAGTATTCTGTCCGGGCCCGAAACCGAGTACACCGAGCGTACACGGTAAACGCAAATAACAACCGGGGCTCGGGTGTTTGGTGCGGCACTTCTCAAAATCCGTTGCTAAAGAGCGATTAAAAACGCGAAAAATACCTTGAAAACGCGCTTAAAAAAAAATTGACAACAGTATGTTTTTAAAAGTTCCCCTCTGACGGCTCTGACTCATAGAATACGAATTTCGAACAAAGGCACACAAACGATTTACACAAGTTTTTAAATAAACTCGTATTAGTATTATAAAAAAAAAAAAAAAAAAAAACATTATGTTTCGATCGTTTTTGCAATGTTAGAAAACCGCGTTTAATGGTTACAGCCGTTATGACGGCCGGTAATGGACATTTAAAACCCCTCCGAGCCCTCGGTTGTTTTTGCATTTTACATTTTTTTTTTTTTCAGGGCTTTTTCGACGTTTTTAAGCACTTTTCGGTGGATAATAAATGCACAGTGCCTCGAGCCCTGAATCAATAACGAATACAGCGGGTATACCCGTCGTGATATCTCGCGGAGTATCGACTGTACGTTTCGAAATGTCGCGAGTTGGGAGAGTTGTAGTCGGGAGCGCCGTCCGTGACGGTAACATTTTTAGAGCCGCTTAAATCACCGAGAAAAGAAAACCGCCGTTAAAACCTCGTGCGATTTCCTCCGGTATATCGCGGCGGATACTTCTTCGGGAGACACCCTGTACACCGATATCAGTCGATTTCCGGACCGGATTCGAGAGGACGCGATGACCGCCTGCGTCTATACGTCTCGCGAACGTACGACGCGTATCGCGCAAATTGACGTTTTTTTTTATCGGCAAATTTTCGATTTAAGTATATTACGTCGGAGCGAATCCATCGGTTATTGTCGGACTTGAAGACGAGTATAACAGTGCGCCACAATTTTTTTTTTTTTTTTTTCGAATATTTCGATTTTCTGCGGAACACAGACGCTCGTGCCTCGCCCGGAAATGGCGCCAAACAGGGACAATGTCCCCGTCTTTGAATTTTACGGGGGAAAAAAAACCCCGAAATCGAGACTGTCGGCCGGTAGCGGGGGTCCGGGGGAGGGGGCCTCTGTTTTCGCCACGTTCTTTATCCGCGGTTTTTTTTTTTTTTTTATAATCGAAGGCTTTTCCGTAAGTTATTCGAACATTTTATCGTTCCGGACATTTCCGCGTATACGTTTTGTTTTTTTTTTTCAGGCGCGTCGCGTTGGAATACAAAACTAAAAATTAACCTCCCCCCCCACCGGTTTCGCGGTTCTTTTAGAGCGGCCCGTCGAAAAGTCTGGCAGCCCTCGCGAACCGTTAGCCGCGCGCTACACGTATAAAATGCTATACGGCGTTTGCCTCCATCCCCCCTCCCCCCTCTCCCCGGGGGAATAACTCCGGAGAGATAATTATTCGCGAGGAGGCGGGGGAAAAACGACAAAAAACGATATGTTGAATTGTTAAACGCGCGAAATCTCTCGCGAAAAACGACGGCGCGCAATTTCCAGCGCGGTACGTTGACCTCGGTCTCGGCCGCCACCGCCGCCGCCGGTTCGCAACAATTCGCATAAAATTATATCGTACAGATAAGCCGACCGTGTACGAGACACGTCATAATATTCTATACTCGTATACCTACTTATAATACGGTTCGAACGGTTTTTTATTTATTTATTTATTTTTTTTTTTTTAACCGAGCTAATGATATTGCGTGACGCGCCGCTGTCGTACGCGTTTTTTACCCGTACGCCGTGGCCCGAAAACGGTTCCCTCCCCCCTTCCCATATTTTTCGCCGATCGGGTGCGGGGTTTCCTCCGTGTTTTTCGCGAATAACCGCCCCGGCAAACCACAGCGGTGAGGGGCGAAACAATACGGCGGGACGCCGAAAATTCCCACCGCTGTCCGCCGGGAGAATCGCGTGAGAAAATTCGCGCGGCGCACGAGTCGGAAAGGTCGCGCATTTAAAATCGGGCCGACAGTTTCGAAAACGAAAATCGATCACGAAAAAACCTTGAAATATCTTAATCTTAACGTTACGGAAAACATAATAAAATAATAAAAACTTCAAGTACCTGAAGATGCGGATGATCGTGGCGCGGCCGTCTCGTCGATCAGCTGTTGTGTGGTCGGCGGCTGAAGGTGATTTGCGAGGTGGGCCGCGGGACGTCGTCGACGGAGAAGAAAAATAATGAAAATTTAAAAAAAACAAAATAGTTTTTCCCGACGACATGAATGCGGGGAAAAATACAAACCGCCGTTCACATAGGAGCGGCGTTCTCGTTAAAAGAAAAAATATTAATAATAATGATGAGTTCGGAATTTTTCAGAATGTGCGAAAAGTAAAATGAATTCGAGTTGTGAGTGGAACGGATTGGTGGTGGCGAAAAGTCGCGAGCTGTGTAGTGCACCGTCGACAAAGTCAACCGGCGGCCCGCCAACGAATGGCCCGAACGGCGACGTGATCGCGGTGTGATGCCGCGGCGCGGCGCGAATGTACCGCCCGGGTGGCAGACACTCGTACGCGTCGCGGCGGCGGCGAAGCGCGCGCAAAGGCCTGCCGCAGCGCTGCGGAGGCCCGCAAACGCTCGGCGATATAGCGTCCGACGACGAGGCCTCTACGCCGCGCCGCCGGCGACCTCGGTATCGGCGGCGGCTTTTGCGCGCGCCACCCGTCCGCCCGGGCACTTGGGCGCGGGCGGCAGCGTGAAAAAGCGGCGGCGGCGACGGCGGCTGTCGCTCTCAAACACACACGCGCGCGCATATACGACACACGAGCGAGTGCTCGGCGGGCGCGGGCGCGCGCGCACACAAGTTGGCAGGCGAATGATGATGGCGGGCCGGGCGACGGCGGCGGCGTTGAACCGCTCCGCGCCTTCCCCTTTTTCCGATCCCCACCGATGTCGACTCCACCACCGCACTCGCTCTAGCCCGTGACTTCCCCACCCCTCGGCCGCTGTAGCCGCACTACGCCGCCGCCGTCTGGGTCTTTCACCCGACCGGCTAGACGACACCCCGACTCCGCAGCCCGCCCGTCAGTCAGTCGACGGCCGATGCGGTCCCCCACCACCGCCGCCGCGACCACGTGATCACCCCTCTTCCGCCGTGCGCCGTGGCCGTATATAATAATATTATAATATAGAAAAACGGAAGAAAAAAACTCCTCCGAACCCCGTCCCGGTCTATACCCTCCCGTCATCCCCCACCGGCCGTGCGAGGTTCATGCGCGTATAAGCACACGCACACACACAGACGCGCGCGCACGCACGTAAGCACACGCACACACACGCGCCATCTGTCTGACACCCGCCCCTCCGCGCTCGGGCGCGCGCGCGCTCGTATAAACCACCGCCGCCGCACCGTCGTCCGCCGCCCCATCGACTACCTGCTCTCCGCTCCACGGCGGCGTATACCTGCTCCGCCACTATTCCGCCGCCGGCGCCGAATACGCGACGCGACGACTTGGTGCGTACGTGTGTCGCGTCCGGTAATTTCGCGAGTTTTACCTACACGGTACACGTTGGCGCGCCGATCTGCCGGCCGCGCACGCGAATATTTCGTACCGAAAGCACTTTGGATACCACTGGGCCGGTCGCGTCGCGCGCGACTGACGCAATAATAACAATATAATTATAAACCCACGGGCACGCTTGTGATACGCGAGGATACGTACGGCTCTATAGCGTCGTGCCGGAACACCGCCGCCGAACGGTGTACCCGACAAACCTGTGCGTTATCATTGTACGTACGCACGATACGGGCGCCCGATCAAATTATTATCGAATAACGACAAAGGCGACAGCCGACAACGGCGACAGCCCCCCCCCACCCCCTCCCCGCCCCGTAGTCCGATCGCTAACACTATCGCGTTAGTTGACGCGCGCGCTTTCTATTTATTCATTGTTTTTCCCCGTCGGAAAGCCGCCGCGCAGCCCCGTCCCGTCCCCTACACCCCCCCNCACCTACCCCCCCCCCACCCCCTCGCCCGCCCAGAAATAATATTGAAATAAATTAATCTCGTCGAATAACAATAAAACGGAAATCGTAAAAAATAATCCGTATACGCCGCGCGTTATCGCGGCCGCCGCCGCCGTCCTCCGCAACGTTAACGAACGGCGATAATAATAATAACGACGGAATTAACAGGGTACGCATAACCTACGGTTATCGAAACGTTATTACGCGCGCGCGCGCACCGTCGCAATATTTTCGCAACGGTACCGCGTATCGTTGTCGTCGCCGTCGCGAGCGGCGCACGGCGTCGTCCGGGTCAACAAACTCTCGAAATTTCGCGCGAAACCCGTCGCGGTTTTCGATCGAACGCCCGAACGGATTTCATACCGAGCCGGTCCCTCGGCCGTACATTTCCGCGCGGGCCGCGGTGACCGGACGACGGTTTGGAAATTCGACATTTTGATAACGCGAGACGTATCGGTTTTACGATGAAGTTTATTGCGTTTGTTTTTTTTTTTTCTACACTGCGAACACAATTATTTCTCCCCGAAAATCTCGCTCCGATCGAAACACGACAGAACATACCGTTTTTTTTTTCTCTTCTTTTTTCCATTCCGGCTCTTATCGGCACTTTAGAAAGGTCATTTTTTTGGAATTCCTAGTGGAACCTAACCATTTGGTTACAATAGTTGTTACAATAACGATTTCATCCGTGAACAACTTTTCCACCGGCAATTTTGCTCCTATCCACAACGATTTAGCACTTTTTCTTTTTTAGTGTTCGCCTTTGGTTCATATAAACGCTGGGAATTTCTGATGTAAACGTATATAGATAACCTTTTTGATAATTTCTAATTAAGGCTCACAGCTTTTCAAACTTCAAAATCCCAAAAAAGCTATTCAAAAAGCACTTTTGATTAAAACCCACAAATAATCGGCTCAAAATACACATAAAATCCGGAGGGAAAATGCGCTAGTACCTATGCCCAAGTTAATTTAACTTACTTTGTTTAATAATTTGAACTCGCAAAATTTGTTTCCTATTTTAAAAAAAAATTCGTTACGGGCATAGAAAAAAATATTAATAATAATAATAATAACGCGCACATCTATGATACGATGCGTGATTTCGTTATAGTCCTCGTTACTGGTTTCTCGATACGCACATAGGGGTAGTTTTGCCCGAAAAGCGGACAAAAGTCCATGGAATCAAAGTACGGAAATTTTAAAAAATTGTTGTGTATAAGAGACTCTTATACTTTTATTATGAATACACTACCTTATAGAGTATCTGATTCGACCCGGTGTCGAATTCAGGTATATGTCAGGGAGCACTGTCGCCGCTCTCTAGAATTTTATTTGCCCTCCCCCCGCCCCCGTTAAGTGTAGGTAAACTAATAATTAATTAAATAATCAAACAAATTTGACTGGTATATTCGACTTAATAAGAAGGTGGATAAGCAAAATGAAAAAAAACCCAACAAAGATCACGACTATAATTTTAGTAAAGTCCGCCACGGAAAAATTGTTTGCATTCAACACTGTCTAAACCTACTGTCGTGTTTTTTTTATTGATAATCCATCAAGGTCGACCATCAGGCGCTTGTTCTCGAGCTCGTCGTCGTAACGGGTATACGAAATAAAACAGTATTATGTCGCTTAATAACAACTCGTTTTAAGAAAGTTGTAAAGACAAATGTGATGATTTATTACGACGATACTATTGGACCACGTATGTACTAACCATATCGCTTATTTTTGTCAAAATAATGCAATTTACTTTGTAGATATTGTACATGTTTGGAATCTTAATACAAAACAATACGATTTTCCGTTACAAACGAATAAATAAATCGTTTTGTGATACTTCGGGATATTTCCCGGCATATTTCTTTTCTTTTTTTTTTCTTTTTTTTTATGCAAGAGTAACTATTCTTCTCTTCTTTTAACGCCGTGGAAGACAAGGAGGCTAAATTCGCCTGTTCTATTTGAATCTTATTTTTTTTTTTGTTGGTACCATGCAATTTGCACGATACAAAACTATATATACGAGGTTAGACAATGCGGTTAGTGAAGTTGATTCGAAGAGATAGAGGAAGACGACAATAAAGAAGAATAGGATGAATCTCAATAAAAAAAAAAAAAAAATAATTGAATATAAATAATAAATATACTGTTTTTTTTTTTTAACATAACTTACTCTTTGCTATTTACCAAAAAGCATTACCTAGATTTTTTTTATTAGTATTTTAGACTATAGATTAAATAAAATGATAAAATAATTTTATTCGCTTTTTGGGGTCAAATACCCCTACTATGTGATACGTTCAGTACTTAAAACTCCTCTTACGCATTAAAATGCAAACAAAATGACCTAAAGATCGGGAAAAAAAAGTAAAAGTCCGTAACTCGTGTTAATATTCTCGAATTAGATAATAATATACCTACTTACTTATATAGTTACTCGAGAATAACACGTACGATTATTATATCATTTTGTTTCTCTACATTGCTTTTTATATTACGGATTAAGTATATTATATTTTACAAACAATGTGAATGTGTGTGTGTGCAATATATTATTACTTCCCGACCGGATTTTCGAGATAATACAATATAACAATATGATGTATACGTGTATGTGCATGTGCGCGAAACGACCGAAAATTCAATAAAGGCGATTGGATTATATTATAATAATAATATCTTTTCCTCTCCCTAACACCCCCCCCCCTCCATTTACTCACCCACGGTTATTCTAACGCAATATATAATCTGAAAAACACGCTCTTTCGCCACGCATGCGATATTATTATATTTGCTGATGTTTCTTCCCCAACGGGCGTGCAATAATATAGACTGCAAAACCAACGAAACGACCTTTAAAATCGGCCAAAGAGATAGAAATCCTATTACAATACATATTAACTTGTACACGACGACATTTCGAATGTATTATCTCGTCTGAGCGTTTTACAAGTGTTCACGATTACATTGAACTAATCGCCGCAAGAAAAAAAAAACAACGTATTTTACGTTTCACAATGATGTTAGGTATTTTTTTTTTTTTTTATACCACGTACAAAATTTCTACCAGAAATCTTGCTCCGATGTTTCAAATGATATTCATAATAATTGGAAAAAACTAAAAAAG